TGAGATTTTTTAGTTTTTTTTAGTTTTCTTTAGACATTTTCTAGGTTGTTAAATCTTTAGTAAATAACATAATTAAGCGGAATTAAATTTTGAAGTGGGAAATAATTAAATTTATTAAACTAAATACCAAAAAATATAGATTAAAATTGATTGTAACTTTTTCGCGAAGATCTAATTGGATATAAAATTTGATTTTAAACGTTTTCTAGTTTTTAAAATATTTAAAATAAAAATGAAATTAACATTTTTCGATTGTTTTTTATATTAAAAATGGCGAATTTATTAAATTAAAAACCTGGATTCCTTTAATTGCAATTTTTCAGCGAAAGACCTGATTCGAAAATTGTTGCGAACAGACCCATCGGAAAGATATACAATACGAGAAGTAATGGAACATAAATGGATCACCCATTATCATCAAGTACCAGCCACTCCACTGGCGACTGTTGGAATGTTAGCTGATCAGAAGGGACAATGGGGAGAGATGCAGGTGAGCACAAGCAGACGGCAGGCCAGCAGAGACCATTTGGGGAATCCAGAAAAACACTAGATTCGGGCTTTTTGACCGTCAGTTAGACGAAATCCAAAGGAAACTAGCAGAGACGATTTGGGAATCGGACATTCTCAGCCATTTTCACCGTATTGGCTGCCAGTAAAGCTAAAAGGGGCAAGCTAGCACGGGAAGCGGGAGGGCAAGCAAGCTTTATGGAAAGTGAAAATTTTCTTAATTTGTCCTTTTTTTGCGTTTTTTTTGGTCAGTTAAGTGGAATCGATGGCTATCTAGCGGAGAACATTTGAGATTCGCGATTTATCGATTTGTTTAACCTTACTGGTTGTCAGTTTTGAGATATCAATGGCTAACTCGCAGAGACCATTTGCGGAAAACGAAAAAATCAGAATTTTGGCGATCTGTCGGCCAATCTTCCGAAATCCAGGGCAGCTTAGCAAATATCATTTGGGATTCGGGATTTTTGGATCGTTATTACCTTACTGGCTGTCATTTTGTCGATCTAGGGTCAGCTAGCAGAGAAACTTTGCGATTCTAGATTTCTGAGTCATTTTCACCTCACTGGCTGCCAGTTAACGGGATTCCACAAAAACAAACCAGTAATCAACTATTTTTCAGGAGGAATTCGACAAAACTCTGACAGCGATGCGGATGGATGGAGAACAAATTGAAATCAAAAGTCTTGCCGAGAGCAATAATCGATTGCTGGCAAAGCGGAAGCAGAAAGGGGAAAAACGAGACGAAAAGGCAGGGCAGCAAGTGGTTATTCAGGAAGAGGAGAATAATATATAATTTGTCCTCTAATTCTTTCCCTGGAGCTTTTGCATTATCAGGGGGGAGTAATTTTTCCGTGCTTAGTAACGCCTTAGAAATTATTTTAGCGGTATTTTTAGCAAAATTCAGCCAGATTTTAATTGAAAAAGCGTTAGAAAACGGAAAAATGCCTGAAAAAGTTGAATTTTTCATTCGAAAAATCGATTTTTTTTAGACTAGTTCGTTCAAAAATTGTAAGGTATTACGTTTAAACGTATTAAAACCAACATTTTAGACTGGATAAACTAAAAAACCGGCTTTAAACCGATAAAAAGGCGCAAAAATTCGATGTTTTGGTAGAAAAAAGCATTTTATTGACCGAGAATTGTTCCATTTGTATTTTTTATAAAGATCTAGCGTGTTTTTAAATTTATTAGAAAAATAGGATGCTAAGGAGCAGAGCTTGCCTCCCCCGATAAAGTAAGAGCTCCTTTCGCCCTCCCCCCATTTCCATGTCATTTCCATTGCCACTTATTCGATGTATTCCATCCATTCTTTCACATTGATAGTAATAAGCAAAAAGTCTAAGAATAAATATATATTTTTATTTTGTTTTATTAACTGGCGTGCAGAGAAGCTATTGGTATCGTTTAAAAGTAAAAAAATCTAAAAATTAGGGTTTGGTTTTCGATTTTTGCGTGCGGTTCGCTCAACTGGCAGCCAGAAAGGGTAATATGGTAATCTTTTTAGGCTTAGAAAAGTACCGTACCCTAAAAGAACGCATTTTAGCGTCAACTGCCGCACAGTGAAGCTCACCTCAGCGCCAAAAATAGCGAAAACCCAAAATTTCATGGCTCGAGACTCCATTTTTTAGTTCCGGTTCGATCAACTGACAGCCAGGAAAGGTAGCGGACAGCTTTTTGGGGCAAAAATTTAAAAGTTGAAGGATTGCGGTTTTCGAATGAACGAACTGGCATCCAGGAAAGGTCATACTAAAGCTTTTCGGGTTCAGTAAAGTACCGTACCCGAAAAAAACACATTTCAGCATCAACTAACCTACAGCCACCTACTGATTCGTTAAAAAAGTAAAAATAAAAAATTCACAAATTCCGGTTTCGATTTTTACTTCCGGTTCGCTCAATTGGCAGCCAGAAAAGGCTATGGAAAGTTTTTGGTGTAAAAATACGAAATTTGAAGGATTGAGTCTTTCGAAAGGCTCAACTGGCATCCAGGCAACATTCAGAAAGTACAGTACCCTCCCAAAAACACAATTTATCCGCATAAAACAATGGCATGGCGATCAGATCATTCTCTTCGCTCTCGCTCTCTTGATTGTCTCTCTTTTCCTCGGCTCTCTCGCCCGTGTCTCTCCCCTCATCGCAAATCATAGAAGAACGCCTCGATATTCCGCGTTCCGTCGTGCAAATGGATGAACAGCTGCTTGTAGACGCTGCAAAAGGGGGATTTAAATTTTTGAATAGACTAGCTGGCCGCCAGTTTACAGCTAGAGACTACAAACGACTCCCTACTGTACTCTTACGTACTCTAGCGTACAGTAACGTACTAATGGTGGCAGATTGTCATTAGCTGTCGCCTGGAGAAAGTTGTCACTGCCCCTTTAGCCCCACTAACCTATTAACTGGCTGCCAGTCTATGATTAGAGACTACACACCACACCCTACTGTACGTTACCGTACCCTATCGTACACTATCGTATTCTCAAGCGTACAGTAACGTACTATTGTCGTTAGCCATAGGCCGGAGAGTAGTGTTCCTGCACCTTTAATCCAGTTAATCGCTCAACTGCCTGCCAGTCTACAACCTGAGACTACAAACTACACCCTACTGTACCCTAGCGTACTCTAGCGTACTCTAGCGTTCTATTGCCAGTGTCATGTCGTCATTTGTTGTGGATTGTAGCGTACAGTACCCCCTTCCCCCATTCCCTTCTGGCTACAGTATACCTATCGGGTAGTTGTGCCACTTTCTTGTATCCCCTTGAAGAGAGAAGATGCTGATTGGCCTTTGATGTCGCCTCCGAGACGATACCCTGCACTCCATCTGCCTGTAAAGGGGAAATTACGCGGAATTGGATGGAATTTTGAGTGTTTTTGAGCTTTCTGCCGGCCAGTTAAAGGGATTGCAAAGTCTGAGGATTCCAAAAACCGAAAATTTCCAAAAATTGGATTTTTGAATCTTGAAATTGGTTTTCTTATCGTCTTACTGTAGTCTAAATTGCCCATTGTAATCGGGATTACGTTTTTCTGGCGGGCTATAGAAGGATTTGGCAAGTCTGTTACCACCCTTAAAAACCCAGGGAAATTGCCTAAATTTTAAAAAATGAAAAAAAAAGGATTTTTTGCAAGTCTTTTTTGAGTGTTACTGTACGCCAATTTGCCGATTTTAATACAGTTTATACTTTTCTGGCTGACAGTTAGAGGAATTGAAAACTTTCTGCCCTCCCATAACCGCGAAATTTGCATAAAGCTCGAGCGAAACCCCCGACCTTGAGCTGCTGGAAGTCGAGTTTGTGATGGAGCATGAGGGCCCCAATGCCACGATGCTGATACTCGGAAGTGATGAACGAGATCTCACGGCTGAAAATACGGAAAAATCAATAGCTCTGCTACCGTATGTCCAGATGTGTAGTTTGTAGTCTCACGGGCTTTGAAATCACGCAAAAATACCCCGTAAGCGCGACTTTCCCCATAAATCTAAAACCGGTCCCCGGTTCCGGTCAAAATTACGGTAGGGCCTTAGCTGGCTGACAGTTAATATGTGCAAAAAATTTGAGCCGGATCGGCCATATTCGGCTACGAAATTCAGGCTAGCTCCTATGGTTGTGGCGCGTAGTTTGTAGCCGGGCGTACCGTAGCATTTTGTGGATGTCGGGCAATGCCTCCAATGTCAGCCGCTTCGTCTCCTCCAGCATCGCCACTACAAAAATAGTTGGAGGATACGGTAGCCGGCTTTGTAGCTGAATTTTTGCCTGATTTCAGGTACTTGACTTTTAGCGGGGGAGCGAATTTTTTCTGTGTCTCTAACGGCCCTTAAAAAATATAAAAAATTTTTATGGCGCTTTAGGCTGTTTTTAAATATAAAAACCCGTCAAAAATTACAAAAATTTTCGAAAATTTTGACTTTTTCTCAAAAATTCATAAAAAATGACCAAAAAAGCCAAATTTTTTGAATTTTCTAATTTTTTAAAATATTTATTGCATTTTCTAGCAATTAAAAACCATTTAAAAATACGCTAAAACACCCTATATAATATTCAAGGCATTAATATATTGAAAATACCCCCCGCTAACAGTCCAGTACCGAGTTTGTCGTTTATAGTTTACGATTTCGCCGTAAAACACCACTTTTTGCCCTATTTTATATTATAAATTTAGCTATATTAGAAATTATTATAAATTTAGATTTTTACGGTAATTTAGAAGGCGTAAAAACTGCCCAAAAATTTCGAATTTCCGAATTTCGAATTTTGGGCAAAAAATTGATATTTATTTGTTTTGATAAATTTAGTAATTTTTTAATGATAGAAATACAAGGTATAAAAAGTATGTAAAACCCACTTAAAGTGAGAACATTTGGGGCGTTGACTTGTGGCTGAATGGGGAATGGATCGAGTGATGGATCACGATGGCCAATACCCAGCAGACGGAACCCAACAACACGATTGTCCTGCAAAAAAGGGGCGTGGCTTCCAGATAAGCTAGCTGTCACGAAGCCTTTAAAACGGAATGCCCACCTTTTTGTCGTCAATTAATTTGAGGGAGTACGGCTGGCGAACACAGGAATCGGCGATCGCCTCGAATAGAGGGGCCGCCTCGTCGCCCATGTGGAATGCCTAAAATGTTGGCATGCCAGCGGAGATTCTTGCGGAATTTCAGAGCCAAAAAATCTCAAAAAGACAAACAAAAATCTCCGCCGAGCCTCCGTGGCCGATTGGTAGTGTGCCAGGCTGCCACCCACGCGACCCGGGTTCGACCCCGGCCGCGGCAAAACTTTTTGCTTTTTGGGGGAGGGCTGGGAAATGGGTATATCTTTACGGGAAAACCTTTAGAAACCGAAAAATACTCTGGAATGGGGCTCGCAGCGGACGAATTGATGGAGGAACAGATCGGAAAGGGCCGGCAGATCGGATACGGTAGCCGTCTCGAAATGGAGATGAGCCGGAAGGCGCTTCAAATGGCGCGCACCTCAAAAAGAGATTTGCAAAAAATAGAGGGGAATATTCACATTAAAAAAATTTTCAATTTTCAATTTTTAAAAAACCCGAAAAAATCGAAATAAAAGCCATTTTTAATCTAAAAACCTCAAAAATGACAAACCGGCGTTTAAGGCGCGCATTAATAGAGGGGACGGGATAAATAATATAAGCGAGAAAAGGTAGGAAAATGAGATTTCCAGCTAATTTTCGCCTTTTCTAGCAATTTTCCCAGGCAAATCCGATTTCCTTATCGAAATATGCAAATCGAATTTCATGGCGTGATCGGATCCGGGGTACTGTAGGAGCGTAAATTCGCATTATCTAACTGCAAAAAAGCTATCTGCGGAAAAGCCCCAAAAATCGATTTTAAAGGGGCCCGGACGAGCGAATTCGAGGCCTCATGGCGTAATCGAATCGAGGATACTGTATGGTGGCAAAATCGCCATATCCGATGTCAGATAAGCCAAAAATTGCTAACAATCGTCATTCCGGCTAAAAATGGTTGCTAAAGGGACCCGGAAGCCGAATTTCCCGAATCCCGAATTTCGTGCCGTAATCGGATCCGGGGTACTGTAGCGGTTTACTGATTTACACTGCATTTTTCCAACCCAAAATATGAGGCAAAAACTTTATTGGCATCAGATATATATGATAAAAAAAGAGAAGGAGAGAGCGCGCAAAAACGAGAGAAACGATAGCGGAGAGAGACACGCTGCAGCGAGAGAGAGCAACAAAAATAGCAGCAGCAGAGAAAGAGAGACAGAGCAATGTCGCAAGTATTACCCGCTGGCGGCACAATGCTTAGAGAGTGGAGGGAGAGGAGAGGGCGATAGAGTGGAGAGAGACAGGGGGAGGCGAGAGAGATGGAGAGACACACCCAATCGGCATTAATTAAAGACATAATTATTATAGACAGGGGGGATGATGGCAATTAAAGGCACATAGAAGACACAACAAATGACTGACGGACAACACGGAGAGAAAGGGTACTGGCTCCTTAGCGGGGAGAGGCAATTAACTTTTCCTAATGAAAATTCAAGCGCGATTTTAATTGGATTTAACGGGGGTTTTTTAGAGAAACAGAGTTTATAAAAACGAGAAAGTTTTCAAAATTAATGAATTTTCAGCAAAAATTTGATAATTTTGATTAAAAAAATTTTTTATTTTTTTAGCAGCCGTAAACTATTCAAAAAACGCTCCAAAAAAACTGGTTTATGTGTTTTTAGGTATAAAAAGCTTACGAAAATGATTGAAATTACGAAACCTTTTCACTTTTGATAAAAAATTAAAATAAAATTAATCTGCTAAATTTTTAATTTTTTAACAATCAGAAACTTAATTTTATTACCAGGCTAACCCCCGCTAACGCACCAGTCCCCATACAGCAGAGAGAGGCACGGGGCAACTAGCAGGGAGCATTTGTGGAATATCTGGTCAAAGGAGGGCACAATGACATCGTCTTCTCCGACGAGAGATAGAAAGAGAGGAGAGAGAATGAGAAGAGGCAGAGGGAGCAACAGACACGAGAGGCATTACTGTAGCCAGAGAAGCTGAAGGGGATGAAGCCGGAGAAGAAGCCGTATGTCAGGTGGATGGAGGCGGAAGGGGAGGGGCTGATGACTGACGATGATGGGCTGAGGAGGTGGAGGCGGGTGGAGCAGCAGATAGAGACGACGCGGGAGCAACAGCTGCCGATGATGACACTGAAATTTAAATATAAAAATTAACGTTTTTGAAAAATTGGTACTTTTGCATTAGCGGGGGGACCTTTTTCTAATACAAACAGAACGATTTTTGCTTTTTTCGATTCCTAAATGTAGAAGGCTCGAAAAATTCCGGGAAGTCGAAAAGCACCGAAAATTTGGAGCTTTTGCATTATCAGGGGGGGGGGTTGGATTTTCTAACATGTCTCCACTGATTTTTTATTAAAAGTAATAGTAAAACCTCGAAAAAATTTAAGGAAACCGAAAAGCACCGTATTTCGGAGGTTTTCCATTATCGGGGGACACGGTGAAAAATTTTTCGATTTTTTAGATAATTTTCTCACGAGAATACATCTAAAATTACTAAAAACAAATGACAATCTTTTTAATTAAATTATCACTCAAATCTGACTTTATAAAAAATCAGCCTCCCCCGATACTGCAAAAGCTCCAAAAATTATCAAAATAACTTAAAAAAGGTTTACCGATATTTGGAGGTGGCGGAGAGGAGGGAAGGGAGAGAGACACGCCACTCAACGCCTGATGGGGTACGGTAGATGGGGCTGTAGATGAGGAACGGGCTGGAGGAGGGACAGCAGCTGCCGTAGAAGAAGAACCGGAAGAGGAGAGGAGACGCGCGTGGAAGAAGTGGGCGCGAACCTGCAAAAGTAATAAATAAAATTACTTAAAAATTGATAACTTTTTAGGAAAGGCATCAGGAAAAGAGAGAAATGCGGTTCTGGGCTGTTAGCGGGGGGGGGAAGCAGTTTTCTTTTTCAAAGTCCCCCCCCGCTAACAGTCCAGAACCGAAAATTCTAATGCGAGAGAGAGAGAGCGAGACAGAGAAAGAGAGAGAGAGAGAGAGAGAGAGAGAGAGAGAGAGAGAGAGAGAGAAAGACCCTGATGCTCACCTGCTGTATCTCCCTGTGCTGTCTATCCATGAGTTCTTGTCTTTCCCGTAGATGTCGTGCTCGGAACTGCTTGACAATCTCCTCATTCTCGAAATCTGCCTCGAACGCCTCCTCGAAACCCTGAAAAGCGACATAAAATCCGAATCTTCGACTTTCACAGATCCGATTTTTCGATGAAGTCGATTAAAACGTAAAATAAAAACCACCATTATCTCCAAGAAATCCCAGTTATACAATTAAAAAATTCGGCTTAGCATCCCAAGACCGATTTTTTTTCATTAGGCCGAATAAAAAGCAGTTTCAAGTTAATAAAGCAATATTTACTACAAAAAAAATCCACCAAAAAGCCCAATTTTGGCTTCAGTGGCAAAGCGGAAAAGCGACGACAAACTTTCAAAATAACCAAAACAAAAAATATAGAGTTTTCAGCAATTTAATAATTTTGAAAAGGGCTAAAGACAAACTAAAGCGCACGATCTTTTGCCCTCTACAAAGGATAGCAAAATTAAAGCGATTATAAGCGGGTAGGGTAAAGAATTATTAAAACCAATATTAAAATTAAAATCCCCGAATTTCTCACCCCATCGTAGTCGAAATGATCCTGATCAGAGTGCGGGATCATTGGGGAATGGATAGGCGGAGATCCAAGATGGAAATGAGCTCCTGCTCCTCCTGCAGCTCCTCCTGCTCCTCCATCCCCACTGGTGGGTACTGTCGATGATGTGGATGGTAGATGATCATGTCCTTGTCCAAGACATGGTGTATGTGCTCCTGTCCTTGTTGCTGTTCTCGCCAGAGCACAAGCGAGTGCTGAATCGAGATTGGCGAGTGCAGTGGATGCCTTGGCGGACTGTGTTCGTCGCGTTTTCTCTTCTTCTTGCTCCCAATTATTGTCGTAGAGTGATGTTGTTGACATGACGGCTGTTGGAAGGGATGTCTGCGAGGAGGACGACATCATTGTGCTCTACAAAAATACAGCTAAATTAGAGCGCATTAAGCGGTTATAAAATCAAAATTGATTATTCTAGCGCTTTTGCATTATCGGGGGAGGCAGATTTAGGCCTAGATATCCCTAAAAAAAGCTATATTTTTCGTTTAATAGTCCAAATTTCAAATAGATATATAAAATATTCAAATAAATAAATAAAATAAAGTCTGAAATAAAAATCATAAAAAATTTTGAAAATGGAAATTTTCGTTCCAAATTCGAACTGAATGGAATTCGAAAAACCTATATTTTCTAATTTTCATAAAATTTTGTTATGTTTTGACGCTGAGAAATACTAAAAAACAGCTTAGATACACTGCGCCTATTCATTTTTTTACAAAATTGGATGCCTTTCAAAAAAGAACCGGTAGTACCATAGAACCATAATTTCGAAAGGTTTCTAAAATCTTGAGTTTTTCATATAATTTCGTAATTTTAAAACAAATGAAAACGAAAAATTACAAGCGCATCAGCTATACAAAAATACTGCGAAATCACAGTGCGAGATTAGTTTCTAAAGGTTTCCAGGGGTAAAAATAATTTTTCTATAAATTTTGTAATTTTGCGATAAAGCATATTTAAAAGCAAGCCCGAACTAAATTAATTCATAGGGTTAAATTACGAACAAAGTCGAAAGGTATAGAATTTGAGAAGTGTTCACACTGTTCCGCCCCCGGTAAAGGGATCGGCAAGTCAGAATATAGATCTTCGGCTATGCTTGATAGACACACAACGCGAGCGGCCACTTTTGCATTGCGTGACGCATTAGGCGCATTCGCAAGAAAAAATGCGCGTGCGTTGCGCGTCGCTCCGGAAAAAATTCGCAGGGGTTCAAGGCGACGAAAATCCGTAGTCCTATCTTGCCGGGCCCTTTAAAATGCCCAAAATCGCGTACCATCTCCATCTCGGCGGTGGGCGAGTGGCGTCCCTGTTGGGGAATGGCTGACGATTCTCGTTCCATATCCCGAGACGTATCCTTGTGTATCACCTAAAATTATTAAGAATCTAAAGTCTGGATTCTTACCTTATTGAGCGCATCGGCCAACCCGTTGAGTGTGACAAGCTGCACACTGCTGCTACTCGGCTGCTGCTCCACTTCTTGCTGTTGTTGATGCTCATCGTCGGCTTCACTAAAAGATAGAATGACAGTAGAAAGCCATCGAAATAGCCATCCATCATCGGGGGGTGCGCCGAAATGCCCAATAACGTAATAATAGTGGTTTTAGAAAAATTGAACGATTTTCAAACCAAAAAAAAACCCGATCCAAAAACCCTAAAAATTCCAAATTTTTGGTCAAAAATTCAAATATAGGATTACAGACAAAAGTTGCCCTACCCCCGATAATGCCAAAGCACCGTAGAGAAAAACGTACGCTTGGTTGAGGCACAGCTCGTTGAGTCGACTCGACAGATCCGTCAGCAACAGATTCGTGCTTGAGGGCTGCCCGTCGATATGTGAGGAGGGCGTGTGAGAGGTTGAAGCCTGCAAAAAAAGAGATAAATCACGACTTGAAGGGATTGGCAACTCGGAAATGGCGGACTATTTTTTTGGTAATTTTCTAATACAAATTTCAAGGTTTAAAAATGTTTTAATAAAAAAATAAAAAATAATTGTATAGTTAGGAGTCGGAAAAAACAGTTTAGAATCACTTCCACTATTTAGATCAACAATTTGATTCTAAGAAAAATTTTGCGCCTCCCCGTTAATGCAAAAGAGACAGAATAAATTCTACATAAAGCTAAACGCTTCTAACGAACTGCTGTTTTTATCTATCACTAGTAAAATCGCGAAGAAGATTTGTAATGGCTTACGCAAGGTAATGCCAGGCTGCGCGTTACGTAAAAATCATCAAAATCCATAGCGGCCGTCCCCGGCCGCCTGAGCCATTTTCCCCGTATTGGCAAGCGAGCAGAAGCCATTTGCGGAATTGCAATAATTCGGGTTTTTAGCATCCTTTCTGTCATTTTTCGGAAATCCCGGGCTAGCTAGCGGAGATTATTGGGGATTGGTGATTTCCCAGCGATTTTCAGCGTATTGGCAATAGGCTATGATAGAAAAGGGCAAGCCAGCAGAGAATATTTTAGGCTTGATAGCAGGTTCGATTCCCGAAAACCCAAATTTGGACTTGTTGGCCCCTTTAAAAGAAGCGTATGTACCTGTAGATGTTGCGGGATGACGGATGGCTGAGGAGGAGCAGATTGTGGAGCGGCCGTCGTGGGATTCGGCGTGGTTGTGGGTGTATTCGTGTTGATAGGGGCTGATGGAGGGGGTGCCGTCTCGACAGCCGATGACAATCCAGTGGCAATTGTGGCTGGTTGAGGCATTTCCGGTACACCGCTCACTTTCCGCAGCTCACACTCCAGAAGCGCCAGCGATGTCGTGCCGTGGACCACCGGTGGCTGCAGGGTTTGTGTCTGGAAAAAGCGCGTAAATCGACTTGGGAAGGCCCGGAATTTGATGTCGTAACCGATTGAGGGAATCCTGGTACTGGTCTGTTACCGGGGGGGGCAAATTTTCCGTTTTCTTCCGGTACCTGCTGCTAATCTATCATTTCTAGTATTTTTGTGATTTTTAGCGGTTTTTGAAAAGTTGCTTAACGGGGGTGGCAACAGCTTTTTTTTGTCAAAATATTCCTGCTATTTTTGCAGGGCCATCGGATAGAGCGTCAAAAATGATCCTCAAAGGTACCCTAAAATTTGAATTTTGCAATTCCAAAATTTTGATTTTTTGGCCATTTTCCATACCTTTTTGCACAAAAATCAGAAATTCAATAAATTTTTAGCATTTTTATGCGGATTTATATCTAAAAACCGTCTAAAATTCGATGAAAACAGTTATATTTCGCTATACGGCCGTCCGGGATTACCGGGAAAAGCCCCCCCGCAAACAGTCCAGTACCGCCGAAAACCACCTAATTTTTTCAAAGGCATACCTGCTGTCCAGATTCGGTGGGCGTGGCCAAGGCGTTGGGTGTGAGCGTGACGGTCGATCCGGTCACGGTGCCCGGCTGAAACAAATAAAATACACACAAAAAAGAAAAAAACTGACAGCTGTACTTGAGGCAGTGGCCGGCAGAGTTCCGGCAGCAGAAGCGGCCGTCGAAGCCATGAATAGCTGGTCGGCAGCCTCGCAAGCGTGTACGGATGTTGTCGCTGAGCCGACACCAGAATCCGGGGCTGCCACTGTGCGCACCTGAAAATGCGTTTATAGATTGGAAGGGCATGAAAAAGGCACGCGATCATTCTTTCGAGAAGTACCAGCCGCTTAAAGCGGCTTCGCCGCTGCAAGCGGCTGGACCTTCGGGCTGCCCCCTTGCGCTCCTCCTCCTCATCGCCGAAACGCGCGCCGACCTGGCTCACTATGTCCAAAATCACCCCAACCTCCGTCCCCCAGCTCTCTACTACAGTGAAAAACTTAAAGTTAATTTTAATACTTTAAATTGAAACTTTTTCATAATTTTTTTATCAGTTTGGGGTGTTCTGACGACGCTCTGAATCCAGATCAGAGAGAGCTAAAGGCCCCAGCTCCTTTCGCCTTCGAGTTGAATCCGGGACACGACGGACGGACAGACGGATAGACGCCCCCTACCTTTTTATTATCAACTATAATAAAAAAGCAAAGACGTCCGTCTGTGTGTGTGTGTGTGTGTGCGAAGCCGAATTCAACTCGAAGGGGAAAGGAGCTAGAGCTTAGCTCTCTTCGGATTCGGATAGAGCGTGGTCAGAAACCCCCAAACTGATAAAAAAAATTACGAAAAAGTTTTAGTTTAAATTATTAAAATTAACTTTGAAAGTTTTTCCTTAGTAAAAGGGGTGGGGGCCCCTCCCGGGAGGCCACGCCCCCTTTCCCTTCGCCCCTCTTCCCCAGGCCCCTTCCCGCGCCCAGATAGCTTTTTTAAATTACTTTAGTACTTTTTAATACTTTTTAATTATGTTAATTAATTATTTAAATTATTTAAAGTATCTAAAGCCATCGGTAAAGTATTTAGGTAGTTTTTGAAGGGGATTTCAGCCATGGGGGGTATCTGAAGCCATCAGGAAGTTATTTTGTTAGTTTTTGAAGGGGATTTCGGCTATGGGGGGTATTGATGGAGGTGGGAAAGGATGTGGTGGAGTGGGACATATAGGGTAGCCCGAAGGCCAGATGGTTGCAGTCGCGAAGCGACTGTAACCATCTGGTAGTTGATATTTCTGCAAAAATTCTTTCGAAGTCATATTTTCAAAAATCATATTTCAAAAATGAGAATTGCGATAAATTTGCAATTTCACAACTTTTCGGCCATTCCCTATTGATCGCTGTGCGCTTCTAGATTTAGCTTTTAGATAGAGACCTAAGGAATCTATTAAACGGATCGGCAAGGCAGGGCCCCCTGATTTTGGCCTTTCAAACCAAAAATTCTAGGAAGCCAGTAAAATCAGAAGTAGCCGAGCTTGCCAGTGAAATCGCTAAATCGTAAGAAAACGTGAAAATCACGGATTTCCGGGTTTTTTTGGGGTTATTTTGTGTTTCCAGTCGGGGCCGAATTTTTCTTAGAATTCAAGTCCTACCCAGTGTCAATACCACGAGCTGAGTGTTTTTTTATACAACTCAGAGTTATTGAAAGTGGGAAAACTGTGGAAAACCCTTGAAAATTGGCCAAAAATCAAAATTTGCAGTTTTTACGTTTAAAAACGTTGCTCAAAATTTCGCTCCCCCGCTAATGCAAGCCCAGGGCGCAAAAAAAATTCTAAATGTGAGCCCCGATGCGACAGCACCAATCCGCGCAGAGCCCAATGCCAATCTGTAGCCACGAGGAATTCGTGGCTGCACCAGCGGGATACGTCGAGGCTTCTATTGCTATTTCCGTGTCCCATATTCCAGGGACCAATCCCATTAGTGCAGCAATAGAGAGAGGGGGGATGATTGTCGGGATTCCCGAATGGGCAAGCGACATATCCCCCCCCCCTGCTACGAGAAAAGGTCCCTTCCCCACTCTCTGCAATAGAACGATGCGACATCGTCTGACCAGTCCCCCTTTTTGTGGCTGTATCAAAAAGGGAGAAAGACTGGAGATCCCGTCCGTTGGCTCGAATATAGAGCTCGAACTGGGGGACATAAGGCTTAGGATGGGACGGCAGAGGGCTTCTTCTTCTTCTCCCGGAAAGAAGGAGGGAGAAGAAGCCGGGGGCGTGGAGGGACACGGATATTCAGATTAAAGGGCCCAGGAAGGCACAATATCAAAACTAGGTTAAAAATGTACAAAAATTCATAAAAATCGAGGAAGTTATCTCTACAAAAACGCCAAAATTTCGGGGATCGATTACGCTATTTAACTGGTCTGATGGAATTTCCTTAAAGGGATACCCAAGGTTTTGGCGGTAAATATATAGTTATGTATTCCGTGCAGTACAGATGAGGCACGAATTTTGTGCGGCAATGGGGGCCCATTGCCGCACAGAATTCGGGCACCTTTCCCTCTTGTGGCATCCCCAGCCCAACCAAAGGCTTGCCACTATGGCCTAATGGATAGCATCCAGGCCTACCAAACGAGGGTCCCGGGTTCGACCCCCGCCCGCGTCATCTTTTTTTTTGCTTTTTGAGCCCCCAAAAATGTTGGACATCCCTTTAAGCAGTTTACGAAGGAATTCCTATTAAAGGGCCAAGCAAGGGAAAATTTTAAAAATTAGTGCAAAAAAGGTACTGAGCGGTTAGCGGGAGGGGGGTGCTAATTTTCCCTAGGAATCCAATACATCCCTATAAAAAAATGTAAATCATTTTTATAGTTTGCGCGGTTTTTAGATTAAAAATCCCTCTAAAAATTAAAATACCCGAGTTGTTTTCCTTAAAAAAAAACCCGTAATGCTTGCAGATTTCGTTCTCCATTTCCTAAAGGGGCCGGGACACCAAATCCTGCATTTTCGAGGCAGAACCGATGCACCAAAATTAAAGTAAGATCATCAAAAAGGTCCAGAAAATTGATTTCGTTCAGTGTGCTAGAGATTTGAAAAAGTGCCCAAATGGACCGCCGCCAGGCGGCGGCTGACTGGGGGTTAGACCAGCGCCGCGACAGCGGCGCAAAGTTTTTTGAAAAGCTATCAGAATTCGGAGAAAAATGAGGAAAATGTATCATTATGGCATGTAAACCCGTACTTTTTCTGTCCTTCCGATAACATTCATCGTCTGTATTGTGAAATAAATATTTTTAATAAATTTTGTGTTGCATGTTATACCGTGGAAGAATCCAATTAAACTGAAGAGGATGATGGCGAAAACCGAGCGGAGAAAGTACATGGACGACAATTCCCTATAATTGATTCTTGCTAAACTTCCTATATATTCCTACAGACTACAGACGTATATATTCCTTTCACGTCAACGTCAGCTTCTGATTCATTCCAGATTTTATTTGACGGTTCCGACCGACGACGATGACGCTGCTGCCGATGACGTTCGCACTACAATTCTGGAATAAAGACGGTGGAATACTAAAAATCTTACATCATCCCCGCCTACACTTCTCAATTCTGCACCTGGAATTGTTTTAATCTCAAGCTTCAACTGAAAAAGCGGCAAAAAATGAGAAATCGTCTGCTACTGCTGCTAATCAAATCCAGAAAAAAATTTGGAGCCGTTTGGAGTATCGTTTCGGAAATCCCTACCCCGGAACTTAACGAAAATCAGTTAAATCCCGTACTCGGCGCTCTTCTGGGCGATTGCCCCCAAAGTCTTCCTCATGAATGTCCATGGTACCGTACACCTTAGGTAAAAATATCTAAGCGATCGGATTGGTTTAAGGTACCCTCCGGGACCAGCGAACGTTTACCTTAAAAATCATCGACTTTGGGCATTGGTCACGTTTTGGTCCCCGTTGACCCCCTTAACCTGAACCGATCAGGACCAAATTTGGCATCATGATACTACAGAGTCTGCTTTGTCGGATCCCACAGCTATTAGTCCCATTAGTCTCATAACCTCGGAGCTTGGGACCAGCGAATTTCGAATCTTTTGGGCGGACCTTTCGGTTCTTCCTGCCTAAGTCTTACATTTCGGATCTTCGTCGCCTGTCCTCTCTCATCCATAGAAAGCTTTTATTTCTCTTTATTTTGATATATAAATCATAAAATTCGGCTCCGAGTACGCGGAGCTACGGACCGGCGACACTTTGGGCGGGGTCCCGTTTCACACTTTTATTAAGGGTTTGGCACCTAAAAATTCATAACTTTTCAGTTTCTGCATGGATCGCCCCCAAAGTCGTCCTCATGAATGTTCATGGTACCGTACACCTTAGGTAAAAATATCTAAGCGATCGGACTGGTTTAAGGTACCCTCCGGGACCAGCGACTGTTTACCTTTCACACCTTTATCAAGGGTTTAGCACCTCAAAATTCATATCGCTGCGGTCCTTGGCTTTATCGTCACGAAATTTATTGAGCATGATTAGCAGGCTATCGTATACAATGTGTAAAAGTTTCTAAACGTTCCGAGCTCTGTAAGCCACTCTTCGGGACCGTGAAAGGTAGGTGAAAGGAGCCAAATGGGTTATGCCCAAAGTATCGGCGGTCCCTAAGGGTACTTTAAATCGCTCGAACCGTTTAGATATTTTTACATATTGTCTAATATGTCTTGACCATTATGCTGTGCAATTTTCAAAAATATCGGAACTATTATTGAAAAGTTATGAATTTTTAGGTGCCAAACCCTTAATAAAAGTGTGAAACGGGACCCCGCCCAAAGTGTCGCCGGTCCGTAGCTCCGCGTACTCGGAGCCGAATTTTATGATTTATATATCAAAATAAAGAGAAATAAAAGCTTTCTATGGATGAGAGAGGACAGGCGACGAAGATCCGAAATGTAAGACTTAGGCAGGAAGAACCGAAAGGTCCGCCCAAAAGATTCGAAATTCGCTGGTCCCAAGCTCCGAGGTTATGAGACTAATGGGACTAATAGCTGTGGGATCCGACAAAGCAGACTCTGTAGTATCATGATGCCAAATTTGGTCCTGATCGGTTCAGGTTAAGGGGGTCAACGGGGACCAAAACGTGACCAATGCCCAAAGTCGATGATTTTTAAGGTAAACATTCGCTGGTCCCGGAGGGTACCTTAAACCAATCCGATCGCTTAGATATTTTTACCTAAGGTGTACGGTACCATGGACATTCATGAGGAAGACTTTGGGGGCAATCGCCCAGAAGAGCGCCGAGTACGGGATTTAACTGATTTTCGTTAAGTTCCGGGGTAGGGATTTCCGAAACGATACTCCAAACGGCTCCAAATTTTTTTCTGGATTTGATTAGCAGCAGTAGCAGACGATTTCTCATTTTTTGCCGCTTTTTCAGTTGAAGCTTGAGATTAAACAATCCCAGGTGCAGAATTGAGAAGTGTAGGCGGGGATGATGTAAGATTTTTAGTATTCCACCGTCTTTATTCCAGAATTGTAGTGCGAACGTCATCGGCAGCAGCGTCATCGTCGTCGGTCGGAACCGTCAAATAAAATCTGGAATGAATCAGAAGCTGACGTTGACGTGAAAGGAATATATACGTCTGTAGTCTGTAGGAATATATAGGAAGTTTAGCAAGAATCAATTATAGGGAATTGTCGTCCATGTACTTTCTCCGCTCGGTTTTCGCCATCATCCTCTTCAGTTTAATTGGATTCTTCCACGGTATAACATGCAACACAAAATTTATTAAAAATATTTATTTCACAATACATCCAAACACATCGAAAATACATAACGTAGGGGCCTTCTTTAATCAGGGGGTTTTCAATGGCGCCGAAGGCGCCGAAAAAATGCGATATTACTAGCCCTTAGACCAGCGCTCAGAACCGTTTTTGGGACCAGCGCCCGCCGGTTTTTGCCCAAAGTGGTGGAGGACTGATTTCGTTACAAAAATGGCAAATCTCTGAGAAGAACGATATCTTATTGCGGGGAGGAAGGGGGATCAATATTCTTTTTTCGCTCCGTTGCATATTACACACTGTATAAAAGGGATGGGTGATGGCTGACGGGGGAGAAAAGCTATCGGCCGATCATCTAGCCCCCTACCGGCAATAATAAAATGATTCATCGCGAGGCCAATAGGAGAAAAGACACGTTTTTGATGGCATAAATTACGCGCAAACGCCTGGGGAGGAATACAAAACGAGTCTAGCGTCCAGAGGATCGCCGCGGAATACAGGGGACGAGATTACGGGGTGAAATGGAAAATTTGGAAGCCAGGAAACATCCCGAAAATTCGAAAAATTCTAGAAATCTGGATTTTTCGCATTAACGGGGGTGCTATAAATCCCGAAATGTCTACTAATGTGATAGTAAATGTTTTAATGGCGTTTTTAGTAAAATTTAACACGATTTTCAGTGAGAAAATTTTTTTAGTCGAATTTAGGTAAAAAATCCGCCATTTTTGGTCCAAAAATCGCCAATCTGGTGTTTTTTGATCAAGGCCCAGCGTCTAGAGGATCGCCGCGGAATTCAGGCGGCCAGATTAAGGGGGTGAAATAGAAAATTTGGAAGCCAGGAAAAATCTCGAAAATGGAAAAATTCTAGAAATCTGGATCTTTTGCATTATCGGGAGGGGGAGTTTTCCTAAAATTCTTGAGCGTATTAGTCGTTATTTAGTAAAATTTAACTAGATTTTAAGTGGAAAAACCATAAAAAAATGTAGAAAATTTTGTATTCGATCCGTCCATCCGTAAATCGCCATTTTTGGTCCAAAATCACTAATTTTGCATTTTTATCAAATTTTGTAAAGTTTTTGGGCTCAGGAATAGTAGAAAGCGGCGTAAAAACACATCCTGGCCTTATATGAGCAAATTAGAAAAATCCCCCCGATAATGCAAAAGAACCCTAATTTAAAACTAAAGAACCCTGCTCTTCTACGATGCTAAATAATCCCTCAAAACCCCCGTTCTCACCGAGAATCGTCCATGCGTGCTGGCGTTGCTGTTGACGGAGGAGTTATTCGAGTAGGCCGTGTTCGACGGTGACGACGCCGTTGAGCAGTTCGACAGGGCGGGCGGTGGGAGGAGGGTTGAGAGGGTGGAAGCCGGGGTTGAAGCCTGAAATTGAAGCACATTAAATCGAAATAAATCCACAGTACCTCGCCAGCCGTCGAATCCTTGGCCTTGCCGGCATCCTCGTCTACTGTAGCTGGCGGCAGGCTCGATTTCGTGACCTGAAAAAAAGGCTGTACGTTGATTTAACCGAAATTTATTGTCTATTTTATTTTTGGCTGCTAAAAATTACAAATTTTCGATTTTTTCAGTTCAGGCTCGATTTTTAAATTTGAAAATGAGCCTTAAATTTTAAATTTTTTAGCCAAAAGTTCAACAAAAAAGCTTTCTAGTTTTTATTGTCTACTTGGGATATAGTTAAAGTATACTAAAAACAATATTAAAATTGGAATATAGTTCAATTATACTAAAAACAATATTAAAAAACACATCAATAAAAGCTGCTAGGCATTTCTGGACGTAGAGAAAGCGTTTCCAAAACTATTTTTTTACCACCCAAAAACGTACAAAAGTTACAAAGTTGCATAAAAATGCAAAAAATCCGAATCGCTCAAAATATAGTTAAATTTTTCTAAAAACACTATTAAAATACCTGCCACAAAATTTCTAGTCATTTCCGGACTAATAGGAAAAATTAAGTCCCCCCGATACTGGAAAAGCACCCAGTTTTATAAAACAGGCTCACCTCAAAGCGATTCTTTTTGGGAGGAGCAACAGCGACAGCAGGAGCAGCAGCAGCAGCAGCAGTAGGAGCAGCGGCGGGTGATGGTTCAGGGGCTGCGGAAGCGGAAGTGACGGCCGGGGTACCGGTAGTTGTGGGCAGTTCTTCGGGTCTCTGTGCTTGTTGTGCTTGTTGAGGATGTTGAGGGGGTTGTGGCTGCTCAACAGGGATGGCGGCAGGGGGTGATGGCTCGACAGTGGTGCTGCTCGTGACGGCAGGCTGGGGCGGAGATGGTAGATGAATTGGGGGCAGGGCTTCCGTTGTTGGAGTTGGCTGCAAAAAATGGACGGTAACTCACCCTCATTAAAACAATATCATTTTAATAGTGTTTTTACGCAAAATTTAGAGAGTTTTTAAGTAGGGCAACTATTTAGAAAGCTTAAAAACTTTAAATTTGAAATTATTTTCAAAAACTATTTAAAAAGCCTGAAAAAGTGGTAATCTGAAATTTGGCCAATTTTCCAATTTTTGATGCCTAGAGATAGCAAAAATATGTAGTTTGTCTTTATCCAAATTAGCAAAATTAGCTTTAAACGGTAAGAACTCCGGATTAAAATCGGCTATTTTAAATAGAAAGAAAGAATTCAAACTATTTTTAACTATTCCTTAATTTACAAAATTACAAACTTTGATTGTAAAAAGCCAAAACAATCGATTTTTTTACTAAAATGTCACCTAAAAAATTTCGGTTTTTTATAAATGTGTACGGCTTGAAAGATCATTAAATTTCCCCTAAACACACAACTAAAATTTTCTTTCTTTCTGGACGTAGAGAAAAAATAGTCCCCCGATAATGCAAAAGAACCCAACTAATTCCTTAAAAAAATTAAAAACCGTTTAAAAAGTTCAAAGTATTTTAAACGGCTATTAAAATTTTTTTAATAATTTTAATATAAAAATTTATTTTAAAGAAATTTTATATATTTATAATTTTAAAAATTTTGATAAGCCGTTTAAAAAGTTTAAATTATTTTAAAGTTAGGTTTAAAGGAATTTTAATAAGTCAACGTCAAATAAAAATTGCCTACCGTTTCCGACTTTTCGCCAGCCACATCAGCAGCACTGGTGGCGGCTCCTTGAGATTGTTGCGACTTGGAAGGGGCTAAAAAATCCAATTACACGTCGTAATCAGATAAACTCACTGATGATAGTGAGCGTGCAGACAGTTTGGCCGGGTTCTTGCACGGCGACAATCTTGAGCCCCGTCTGGTTTTGCGTGTCTTCGTTCAGCAACTAGAAGAATAATGGATTACGCACTGTAATTGCGAGCCATACCTTGACGACCTCGTTGAGCTGCTCGGTGACGGTGTCTATCTGATCCTCGGACATGCACTGCTGCGCGAACTGAAAACAAGAGAATCAGAAAAAGGATAAATTTGATCAAATCAAGGATTCAATAATGTTAAAATTAAATCAAAAAAAATAAATTAAAAATTAAAAAAAAGAAAATTTTGCTATTTTAAAGAGATAGGGGCGGCATAAGTCAATCGATTACGCGAGGGAAAGAAAATGTCTCTGCGCCTCTCCCCTGGGAGCCCTCTCTCGCGCGAGATCGTCGCGGGACCTGTTGAACCCCCCCTCCACAAGGGGGGTTCAACAGATGCCGTCCTCATCTCTTTAAACATTGATATATTAAATTGGTTCTTTGGCATTATCGGGGGGTGAATTTTTTAGAGTAAAGAAATTTCTGCCTTTTAATCGTGTTTCCAGCAAAATATAACCTATTTAAAGTGGAAAATTAGCCGGGAAATGATTAAAAATTTTAACGCAAGAAAATTTCATCGAAAAACGGCCATTTTTCCGTTTTAACCAAAATTTCTAATAGAAAAATGTCCCGCCATTTAAATTGCAACCCACCCCCCTGATAATGCCAAAGAACCCTCAAAATGGATATTTTAAAAGGTACCAATTTGTTGGAGATATCATCGGCCTTGTCCTGTCCGGGAGCGAACTGGAAGACGACCTGTCGCAGCGAGGTGTCCAGCCGGCACGAGACCAGCTGCAAATAACCGGATAAAGTTTTTAGTTTTACGATTTAAAAATTCAGAAAAATTGTATTAATTAATTTAGATTTAGGACTAAAACGATAAGTAACGCCATTAGAACCTTATTTTTAGGGAAAATTAACCAAAAAATCAAATAAATTGAATTTCGGCGAAAACACTAAAAAAAAAACCCCCACCTAAAATTATATTTCATATTTTTAATACATATTTACTTATGAAATTATGTTATACAAAAGAATTTATATTTATTAAAACCAAAGATTAAAAATGCTATTCCAGAATTGACAAAAACCGAGGCGGAAGCACAGAAATTTTAGTTTTGGCAAAAATGTGAAATAACCTAAAACCCCCCTTTCATTTAACCACAATTTAAAAGAGGCATACCGGCGCCGAGGGTGTGCCATTCTCAGTGGTGTCGACCTTTAGAATCTCAAGGGTGACGTGCTTCTTCTTGCTTCCACTCTTCCTCTTCGATTCCCCATCCGGGCTCATTGCCAACGGGGGCATTTCCGGCTGGTCGGCATGCCCGTTTATCGCCTGAAAAATCAGGGGTTAGAAGGGCAACTTCAAAAAATGCGGAAATTTATTCTTAAAGGGACAGCGACACATGAAAAAACGTCAGGTTTTTAGCAATATCAAAAACCTATTTTTTTTTTCTAAAGGTCAATCGTTTCAAATATAAACTGCGGAAGTGTTTCTAAACTGTTTTTAACATTGCTAAACGTAAAAACGTCGAAAATTCTGATTGAAAGTTACAAAAAAAAACACAAAAATTGGCAAACATTTCTCAGGTGTCGCTGTCCCTTTAAAAACCCCGCGAGAATGCGATACCTCGATGGAAGTCTGTAGAGTGGCCGCGGTGAGCGTGGCCGTGGCTTCTCGAGCGGCAGCCCGTTGTCGCAGCTCTTCCTTCACCTCGTCCTCCTCTTCTTTCGCTTTCCTCTCTTCTTCCAGCCTTCTCAACTCAGCGTGCCGAACCTCGCGATCCCGTCGGAATTGCTCCACCTGAAAATTGCGCAAATTTTAATAAAGCCGATTCTTAAAAATAAAAAAATTGCCCCAAAAACGGGAATTTTTAACATCCCACCGATTTGTATTTTCTTTTTTCATATTATTTTATTTACATTACATTTTTTGTAATATTTTAACATCGAAGCGCTATTTTTAAAAAATTGTAACTAACTAACCGAAATTTTGGATCTTTTGCATTATCTTTTAAAACTATTTTTAAACGTGTAAACAATACAAATACTTGATTATAAAATGTAAAAATAGCGAAAATTTTAATTGAATTTCGGCATTTTTAAGTCGTGGTATAACGAAACTGACGGGGTTTCGGGATAATACGCTAGCAAATCCGCCGAAAACACACCTTGTCTTTGATGACTTGGGTGATCATCCTTGTGTCCTCATCAGGGATATGCTGTTGCTCAATCATCTGATGGACGACGTCTTCGGCCGAATCGTTGACAATATCAAAGGCGAATTGGAGGCCCTCGTTCTCTTTGAATTTGTACTGTTTCCGCTTCTTCTCGTCGTACACCCAGCTGCATTTGGATCTGAGTGGGAGGCATTTTCAAGAGAAGGCGTTATGCTCTATTTTTCAGCATTTGTCCAATTTTGAGTTCTTTTTCATTATCAGGGGGGCAAATGTTTCCTAAGATTGAATTTTTGAAATACGGATTGCTGAACTGTTTCGCCAAGTTTTTTTAATTCCTAAACGGTAAGCTTTCCTTACCCTTGACGAAAAAAATCTCGAAAAAATCTGAATTTCCAAAGGCCACTCTTACCAAACTCGACTTTTCTCATTTTTTGATAGATTTGATAGTTCATTTTAGCTAACAACAATATTAAAAACCTTCCTATAAATTTACGAGACATTTCTAGACATCTATAAAATTTTCGTCCCCCCCCCGATAATGCAAAAGAATTTAAAAAAATCCCACTTCCGGAATAAATTTAAAGTTAGACTTCAAACCTTTTTTTGCAGAACGAGGAGCGACCTTAAAAAACGGAACAAACCTCCTGGTTATTCTCGGCCAAATCGACGTGTCCCGATTCTTGAGCTCGACCCACCTCCCAGCACCATCCGCAAAAGAAATCGTCGTTGAGGAGTTGTTTCACCTAAAAAACCACAAAAAAAATTCCATAAAAGGCGTCGAACATACCGTACACCGCTCTTCCCGTCGTAACCGGATGCATCGATCGATAATGTCCCGGATTTCCGGATAGGTCTGCGGGATTCGGATTTGGAAGGCCCCGGTTTTGTACCCGAATCGTCTTGATTCACGTGTATAAAACAAATCTGTTTTATATCAGTAGTGACTTCGCGGGTAGATTTGAGCGGGGAATTGGCATTCGGAATATGGATATTCCCGGTCACCATCTCCAGCAGACATCCCAAAGGCATAAATGTCCACCGATTCGTCGTATTGTTCCTCGTACATTTCGGGGGCCATGAATTCCGGCGTTCCTGGAACGTACTACGGGTAAGGATTAGAGGCAAAAAATTTAAATCCCCGGCTCGCCTCCCTGTTGTAGCTGAAACGGCCTTTGAATCACTCCGGATTTTGAGTTCTCAAAATGGCCAAAGACCTAAAAAATATTTAGCTTTTTTTAAATTATTTGATGTTTTTCGAAACGAAATCTCCTCAGTTTTGTCCATAAATTCGCCTTCAAAACATGGAGTCCTAGCCCGTTAAAAACGCCGAAAAATTTTAAGAAAAAATTTCCGATGCGTACCAATGACGCTCTTTGCGTAGCTCTTGTTCTTCAGCGTGGCCAACCTGGAGATCGCTAATCTTGACACCGCCGGTGGTGCCCGTGATGAAGATGTTACCACGATTTCAGATCTCGATGGATCATCTGGAGGAGTTTCGGGGAATGCAGAAACGAGAGTCCCTTCAACACCTGACGACACCACGATTTCAGCACCTAAAAAGGCACCAATTAGCGATTTACCAATTCAGATGTGCATTTTTGGAAAGATATTGAATTTTCGTAATAGCGGGTTTTCATAAGGCCGAACTTTCAAAATTTCTATTTTCCATGAAAAAAATTTCCCGGAGTCCTTGAATATTATGAAAATTGACATTTCGGCATTCTGAAATTTCGACACTTTGAAAATAGGCGCGAATTAACACGGATCACCTAAGTTGAGGATATACCTTGATGTTGATGCGCTGAAACGTTTGAGCGCTACCTCTTCAGCGTGCCCGACGTCATCAACTCGGTCACCAGCACAATGTATTTCCGTTTGGCCGTGTTCTCGCTGCGTTCCCAGTAGTCGTAGAAACGGACGATATTCGGATGTTGGAGGCCCTTCAGCATTTCCGCTTCTTCGCGGAAGCGTTGCCTTTCCGACTGAAAAACGAGAAAAAATTAGAAGAATTAGAAAAATTTGGTTTCCACCGCTGCCAAACCCCCCCCCCCGCTAACAGCACAGTACCAAAAATATTCAAAAATCCGGGTAGATGATCATTTTCTCGAAAAAAATTGCCGCGCTATTATTTCTGCCCTTTGTTACTACTAAATACAGCCTAGATCGAAATAGTGCGCAGTTTTTTTTTGTTGAAAATCAACATCCAGTCGGAATTTCCATAGAAAAGGGAATTCGGGGCTTGCTGAAGCTTCATACAGCTCAATTTGTGGTAGAATGGTAGCGCGTGTCACCCGGGCTCGATTCCGGGCCGGCGCAACCCTCTTTTCGTTTTTAACTCGATAGTTAATTTTCAAATTTTTGCCGTTTTTTCTATTTTCTTGCTGCACAGTCAATACATTTTCGATTTCGTTTTTTCTGCTTAAAATGCTATAAAAATTACCCAAAAATTTTGTATAGAGCCGTACAGGCTTACCTAGAAAACTTTCGTTGCCCGCTGCTAAATCCACCCTCCCCCCCGCTAACCGCACAGCACCAAAAATATTAAAAAGGCCTGGAGCGCGAGCTTCGAGTTTTCTTTTCTTTTCGATAATACGGGTTGATTTTCGGGAAATCCGATTTTTCGCAACCCTAATTTTACAAAAACGTCTCCGGATGCAAATCAGGCTCGTCGCTACTTTAATTTCGCAGTTTGCTGTCCTGCAGTTCACACCAAGCGACAGCGACCCCAGTCCGTGTCGAGTCCACGAAATACAGTCTTGAACGAGCCGCGCCCCAGCTCTTCGTCGAATTTCAGGAATCGCCCTTCTAAAAGCAAAGCATTCGATAGAGAGCCTCGAAAATTGAGCGTACCCGGGCTTCGATCGATCGGCTTCTCCTGGGCATCAAATTCGTCGGGGTCGAGGGCTTCCGCCGCCTTCTCCTCGTCCACCACCAGTTTGTTCTTCTGCAAAAGAATTTTTCAGAAGTACGGTATTTTCTCTACCTCATCGTCATCCTTCGGTGCATCCTCTTCAGGCGGCAGGGCAGTAGATGTGGATGGTTGAGGGCCGGGGATGCTTCATCTTTGGCCACGCCACTCCTTCGTTTCTCCTCATCTCCGGGAGAGGCCTTCGGGTTGTCCTAATATCGCCAATTTTTCAAACAACGCACAATATTTGTAGACATTTTTCG